TAGCCCTTTTGAGACGAGGGGTACCCCAACCTCACTCAAGAAAACACACAGAGTGAGATGTAGGGCTCAGTTTGTCTTGTGCAGGGGATGGAATTTGAACAAAGCACGTGCATCCGAATACTCTGAGGTTTGAATAGTCTACTGTTTGAAAGAGAGTAAAACGCCCAAAGATAACGTGTAGAGAAGTCACCAATAATAGGAGCCATCGTCTTCTTACTCAGATAAGCAGCCATCATTAAATTAAGGCATCAGGCTTGATTAGGGATCCTAATAGGGAACTTTCATTCCCAGTAGAAGTCCTCAGCAACTTCCAGGAGATGGCGATTTTTCCATTCTACAACCCCTTACCTTTATGTTAGGGGGGCTTGTGGAGGAGTATTTGCACATGAGGTCTGATTGATGAATCAAAGAATTCCATGGTCTATGAAAGACTTCCAAAAAGCATTAGAGATGAACTCTCCTCCATTTCACTTTATTTGACAGGGGCGGAGAATTCTCATAGATTTCCCTATCTGAGAATGAAGAGTCAAAGGGGGTAAGAACATTACAAGAAAAGGCTTGAAACATTGCACTAACTTCACTTTTGCATTTCATCATATAGAGCCGTCTAATTCTAGCGTGATCATCTATGAAGCCGAGAAAATACCGAACTCCAGAGTTAGAAGAGACAGGAGCTGGTCCCCATAGCCCATAGAAAAAGGGGGGAAAGGGCTCTGAGCATGGCTTTCTATAACTATTAGAAAAAGGGAAGATTGCAGTGCTTTGACAGTTGACACGTAGTGCGTATTAAAAATGTTTCTCATTCAGGAGGAAGAGGAGATAATCCAAGAAGCGCCATCTGCTCTAGTCTCTGATCATGTGGATGTCCCAATCTTCTATGCCATGCCTACCATGAAATGTTGTCCACCCCTTTAAGCGTTTGATGACTCATTTGCAGCAGAGAAAGATGAAGAGCAGCCTGTCGATTAGTGGCTCAGGTATCAATGGTGCAGGGAAGATATTCTCGATTACATAATAAAGAGCAAGTACTTGATGTTCATAGAAGTATTCATGTACTTATGTGTTGTTTTCGGGTATTTGAGTCTTTTTTCTCTTTCTTTTTCATTCTTTTATGCCTTAAATAAAGCCTAATCTCGTAGTGTTGATTAGCCGGCATAAAGTGACTAAAACTAAGCCTTTTACTAAGCCCCTTTACTTAACTATACTATATAAGGGGCTGCTTTCTTTCTTCTTAGTCGGCTGGTATACAGCCCCTTGTATAGTATAGTTAAGCATTTCACACCACAACCTTAGTTACCTTACCTGACAACCAAGCGAAGCGCTTTCTTGTCTGACTTAGCGGGGCTGTCTGAGTTACGGGCATTGGCCGTTGATTTACTGGATTGGTGACTGTACGTACTGACCAGAGTGAGTGTTGTACTTACTGAATGACTGACTTAGCGATCGATGAAGTAAAGTAGTCGTCTGGTCGAAGCCGAAGAGATTAGAGACAGAGCCAACCTTTATCGATCGAAAGAGATAGAGGGCATGGCGCGAAGGGTCCAAAGAAAAAAAAAGGGATCTTCGGAAAAGGGTTGATCCCTTCTTATCTTATCTTATCTTATAGCCTTTGGTTGAGGTTAGGTGACTAGTGCAGTCCTAGTCTTTGCTTTTTTGATTTAGTTGGATCCCCATGGAATTGAGAAGTTCAATTTCGTCTCAACATAGCCCCCAGCCCTCTCCTTACGATGATTCCAAATCATGGAACCTATGGTCGTACATCATAGGCTAACTATAGAAGCTTTTCGTGCGGGGGGTGCTGTGCTCCTCTTCATTTGCTCCTGTTAATGACCACAAAGGCATACATAGAAGGCAGATGAGAGAAAGCACTCGATGAACGATGATTGAAGATTGTAGCATATTTTTTATAAAGCCTGTCACATATAGATTAGACTACTACATTTTTGAAGCAGAATTCGGCCAGCGCATCGACCTGGTACAAAATGGCCATCTTACTGACTCCGAAAGGTCGACTACGACAAAAACGTAGTTATTCCCCCCCTTGTTGAGATAGGGCAATCGTCCTACGAAATCTATGGTTATGCTTTTCCCATGGCCAGGAAGGTATTGGGCTGATAAAGCCCCAACTTCCTGTTGGACGGCTTCGACGTACTGCATAGAGCACACACAACCCATCACCGTTGGACATCTGCTTCTATCCTGGGCCAATAAGAATGCCGTTCCAGGTGAGCCAGAGTTTGATCAACTCCAAAGTTTAATCCAACTCTGGTGTCATGAAGGACCGCGAGACGCCTTTCTTTGCCCGACATACTCTGCCGTCTTTGTAGAGTAAGTCGTCTAGCCGGCTGTAGCCATCTGCCATCTGCAGTTGGGTCGTCTTCTCCCAGACGCCTTTCGACGTCCCTCCGAGTACTCCGCCGTAAAGTCCCCGAAGTCCAATAAAGTGAGAAAAACAGCAATTGCGGCGCTTTACTAATAACATCAAAAGGGGGTCTGGACAGAAAATCTGCAACCGTCGTTGGCCCTTCTTTTCTTGTACTTGATCACCAACTCGAACCGTTGCAGGAACTGAAACTCACTTCATATGACGCGCCTCCTGAAGCTTGGACTGCATCTGTAGATACTGAAGGGGCTTGTTGATCAGAGTGGCCTATTCGTAAAGCGTCTCCTTCCCGAGCAAATAGTGCCTCCAGTCTTTCACAGCCAGCGCTATCGTGTACATCTCTTTCTCGTATGTGGGATAGTTTAAGAGGGCTGTATTGAACATCTCATTTGAGGAATCGATCAAGCTCGGTACCTCTTCATGTCATGTTCTCCCTAATCCATGATAGATCGAGGGGGAGAGTGGTTCACTGGGGAACTAAACCCTTTGCCAGTCATAATGGGAGCTATGATCCCTCTGGATTGATGTCCCGGGTGAGGTAGGACAAAGAAAAGGAACTCCTGGTCTATTGGCTCGAGCTGCACTACTACACTAAACCGGGGATTTCGGATCATCACTAGATTCTCGCTAATCAAGCGTCAACCTCTTTGATTCAAAAGCAGCTCTTTCCAAGAGAGATGGTAAAATAGCTTCTTTATATAAGATATTGGCTCGTGAAGCAAGATCCCTTTCTTTCTTATGAGGCCCAGAGTCTGGCAAAGAAAGCTCTTCCCCCGCTCGAGTGTCTTTTGCGCCAGCTTTCTTTCCTATTGGTTACGGTTCCCCTACCCTATTTTATGCATCTCATTTTATGGTTTCAGCATATGGCTATGGTTCAGATACAGACTCAATACTTTATTTCGTGCTTTGATCTCAGCTGGTGGAAGTAGAGTGGCTATGGCTCCTGACCATTCAAAGTAGTCATTCTTGGAAAACAATGCATGGCATGCTGTTCCAACTCTTCCGGATAGTTACCGCGCCATTCATAGCCATCAGGGAAACTGCCCTCCTCCCTCAAGCCTTTATCCCGTGCTAGTTAGCTTGTAACGAATGACTTTTCTTTTCATTCAATATCCCATGCCCTGCCCGCAGCCTCCTTCTTTATCGGTGAATCGCTTTCAGTCTCTCTTTTGCTTGCCTAGGAGCTCTCCTGATAGTAACTCTTCCGCATCTAGAGAGGACTTCTGACTCCTAAAAAGGGAGGATTCCCGGGTTTCAGTGAGGGTCGGGCTTACCATGTTTAATAGGATACCAGCCTAGCCAGTAGTCAGAGAGCTTACCACGGGAAAACCAACTACACTAAGAAAGACCCAGGGTTGGGCTCGTTGAAGAAACTCGATGGTCGCATTCTTCTCTTTTGAGTGGTCTCTTTAAAATAGAGTATTGGATTGGAGTCCAGTAGGGAAATATCTCAGAGGTATCACTCTTGTCAGCCTTCTGTCCAGGATGTCTCATTCTCGGAGTGGTCTCGTTCTAGGTTTCACTCCCCCCTTTCGTCACAAGGCGTGGTTCTGTCCCCTTCTTCTTTTTGAAGAGAAATATAGGCGAGGGAAAATGGCTGTGATTCAATATGAAAAGGCCAACACTCACTCTACTAACGCAGGGTAAGTGATTATTGATATCCGACTGCCTTGATCGACTCCTCCATTCATCACCTACCATGGACACTTCGACTCCCCCCATCATAAGTAGGGCCTTTCCCTTTTGATTGGGTTTACCATGAAAGAAAGATTCTTTAATGCCTCTGGAAACCCCAAATGCAAGAGATGGACGGGCATGAGCCTTCTTCATTCACTGATCAACCTGGCCTTTAAATCCTTTGTTTTCAACCTCAGATGGATAATGTTTTTGAACTGCTGCCAAATCAAGATCAGGAGAGAGACCTGAGAAGGATTCTCTTTGCTCTTGCTCGGGCTTCTTACCCAGAAAAAATCACTCCATCATTATTGCGTAAATAAGTGGTTATCTTCAAGAGAGGAAAGAGAGAATCGAAAAACCACCGCCCCGCGCTGATTTATTGGCAGAAAATCCAATATCAGAAGATTGATTAGTATCTGAAGAACTACCAGATGAGAAAGTATTCGTAGCAGAAGCCTCTTACTGGGTGATGTTTTTTGATGGGTCTCCAAGAAAAAGAGAAGATAGAGCTGATAAGAGAAAGGCAAAAAGCACAGGAAAGAGCCAAGCCGCTGCTACGATCACTCTAAGACCGCTTATTCAAGAGCTCCTAATTGAACAGTTAGCTATTCTGTAAGAACTTATTCTATCACAACTTATTCTTTCTTCTTCACTTGCAAAGAACCTATTTGATTCAATTGCAGCTCCTTCTATGCTATCAATCCCATTTTGTTCACAGCGTCCTCTTCTGGGAAGGAATTGATGGAAGGAATTGGAAGTCAGGCTTGACTTTCCCCGTTCTTTGTCTTCTAGGCGTCGGAGGGGAATGAAATTCCTAATGGTTCTCCGCCTTTTAACCCTTGGCAGGGGAGAAGGACTAATCTCAGTCTATTCGGCCTTCTTGGGAATGGAATCCTAGGTACGTCCACATTTGGGCAACTTTCACTATGCGAGGGCTTTGGTCTGCTTCCTTCTTTTGAATCACAGGAAATGATTCAATCTCGAACTGGGCCTGACTATTTAGTTGAAGTGAGAGTTGGTTCAACTATCGAGGATAGGAATTAATTCAAGACTGCCTGCTAGTAAGTAAGGCAATCGATCAGAACGCTAACAGCGAGATGCAAACTCACCTTTGTCCCTCAATCAATGGGGCAAGTCGAGGTATGTCTTCTTTTAAGCAAGACGAGTTAGCTCCTTTCTCTGAAAGATAAGGTGGTTTGACCATACTGGAAAGGGTTGAACCTGCCTACTTACTAAGCCTTAGAAGCCCTTAAGGAGGCCTAAATCTGGAGTGTTCCCTAGCTTGATTCTTTCTTTGTTTGCTTCTAGTCGCTGTTTCCTGACTCGTCTCGTCTTGCCATCCTTCCTTGGGTTCTGTTCTCATCCCTGGATCAAGTATCCTTTGCTTTAGCTCATGGCTCGTCAGTGGAATAGTCTCGATCAACGAATCACCTGTCTCTTAAGACCACTTATCGAAAGGGTGACCAACGGGAGAGGAAGGCTGACTCAGGAAGCATAGGCTGAGGGCTCTAGGTGACGAAGGCTGAGTTGGTTGACTCTCAAGTCGGAGCTCTGCTCTCCGCTTTATTCACTTTCTTACTTTGGCTTGCTTCTTCGATCCGGGATACTCCATTCTCACCGAGACCTATCTCCTAAATCCTCTTTGCTACCTATTATCCTAGATTTGCAGTGGATTGCCTGTACTTGATTTGTTTATTGGAGTTCGTAGCCCTTTCTGGGGTGCAACCAAAGCATCCTCCCTCCGAGCTTGGGTACGTTCGTTTCCTTGCAGAAGCGGCTCCGAACTAGTAGGCATATAGAAAGAGGCAATTCCTATTATTATAATTAATAAGGGTGCGCCTTTTGATCTACGACCATCACAGAACTTACTGAAGATGTTGCAAAAACACAAGTAACGTCAGGTAAATGAGAGAGGAAGGAAAGAAAGCTACATACAAGGCGTAAGGCGATCGGCTTGGCTTAGAAAAATTCCTTCTTTCGCTTGCTTCTAGTTCAAGCCATAGATCAGAGTTGTCGTACTTCCAGGAGCTGGTCTAGTTCCGGTAGGTTCGTGAGGAGTTGACCCGAGCGATGAGGACCAGGAGGAGCTTCTGAACCCGCGGTAGGAGATTTGTAAGGTGGTAAGGCAGAAGGGGAATCAACATGAAAGTCTACGCCCGGTGAAGCTCGAAGAGCACGAAAGAAGTCAAAAACCTAATAACTTTGAAGTGAAGCAAGCACGCCACTAACACGTTTCAAAACCCCTTATTTGTGAGCGGAAAATGCCTACCGTTGTTAGCCTTAGACTGACCTTACTAACTTTCAAGCAGGCACTACAAGTGGTCCTGTTCCTGTGACAGTGGAAGTGGAAGTTCAATCCGAATTTGCATCATCAACGGAAGCATCAACTGAAGCAGAAGCTGCTATTTCGGTGGTTGTTGGTGGGGCATCTAACTCAATAACAATTGAAAAGGCAAGTCGTGCGTACTAGGTCTAAAGGCGTGGGGCTATCGGCAAGAAGGCAAACAGGCAAGCCTGCCAGAAAGCCAGCAACAAGAGGTTACGGTTTCAAAGTGCCAGTGGTTGGCAAAGCGTCAAGGGCAAGTTCGAAGGGAAAGCTCTAATCGCCTGCTCACTTGCTTGATGACAGCCTTAGGAAGAATAAATAAGGAGGACCAGTAAACTTGGATGGCAAAGAGGATTGACTTCACCAGTTGTAACCTCACAGCATAGGAAAGGGCTCTACATGTCCAGCTTTTAGCTTTGGAAATAATCTTGTCCACCATCGCCTTGCAATCTGATCCCTTGAGTCTGGAAGAAATCATCGGTACTCCGAGGAACCTTACCGGAAGAGAACCTACATTGTATCCAAAAGTACACATTATCTTCAGTGCGACCCGTTATGATGAGTATTGGCGTGGGGGGTTGAGCCACATTAGTTAGCGCATCTTATCTTTTCTTTAATGGCATGCTGGCGAGAATCAATAATAAATAATAGTTGTCGTCCCCGGGGGGAACTAGAATACCCTTTTTCTGCGTTTCGTCAATAGAAGGACGATTCCCGGATTATTCGACTCACCCACTTCCTTCCTTCCTTCCTTTATTTCTTTTCTCTGTGGCAAGCTTGACTATATAGGGCAGCCACAGAGAAAGTTCCGTAAATAGAGAATCGGGCTTCGTGCCACTACTATTTGTTCGACTACTTGACCCGATCGGTCCATTACGTTGTTCCAACAGTAAGTACCCGCTTTGAACTGGTCAAGGCTTCTTTTCTAGTCTGATTAGCATCTCCGCCCTTTCTTTTAAGAAAACTCGTCCATAGAATTATGAATGGAATGCCTTTTCTTTGCTTGCTGTGTCTAGTGAAAGGATCACGGAATTGACTTATTCAGATGATTGTCAGGGGCAACTTCAATGTCTATTCCGGGAAATACCTGAAGAAGAAGAAGACTAATTGAATGAAGGTTGCCTCTTCGAGTTGGCTGTTGGATTCGTATTTCAGAATTGGTCTTTGGCATTCGGCTGTTGCAATCCGTCTCTGGCGCCAACTTCGTTTTGTGAAGCTCGAGTAATGCCTTTATGGCTTTAGGGAATCTCCCTCTTTCGGTCGAGGGCACCCCAGCCTGGTCCACTCATTCCCTTTTCTTCCGCGAGAACTTCTCAAACGAGGGAAGCCCTTTACTCGTACTCGCCAACGCTACTAACTAATTCTCGCTCTCCCCTCTATGTGTGTAAGCCCAGAGAAAGGGATTTCAATCCTGGTCCACTCATTCCCTTCGCTTCCTCTTTTCTTGTTCTAGCCAAAACGAATTTTTCGCATTATTGAATCTGAGAGAGAAAGGCGTTAAGGCCTGCGTCAGGACCATGCGATACAGAAGACCTTGTCCTCGGGAACCCATCAGACGGAGTGAAGATGGCCGAACAAAGCAGATCGGAATGAGTATGGTGGAAAAGCCTGAACCCGAAAGGTTGGATAGTGGGAAGCATATCAGGTGTTCAAAACGTCTCTCCTTCCGTCTTTCCCTGTATCCCCTTGGGATGAGTGGATTGGTATTCCGTCACTTTCTCTAGTTAGCCTGCAGGACTTCCTTCTAGACTTACTTTTCGAGTTGCTAATTCTCATGAATTGCCCAAGTTGATATATCGAGAAGGGGGGTCGTCAACCACTTCTTCGGTAAGGCCACACAGTTAGCCCAATTCTCTCTCAGCGGGCCAAACAAAGGGGATGAAGCTTAAGCTGCTGATAGGGCACAGACCAAGGCAAGGAGTTCGTTCATGGTATAAGTCCTTTCCTTTCAAGCAAGAAGGACTCGGCTTACTCACCAGGAATGCACCCTAAGGGAGAGTTCCTGGGTTACTCAAACAAGCTAGTAAGGAGATACTTAAAAAAAAAACAAAGAAGCTAGCTATATAAGTAAGCAATAGCGCGTAGAGCACTCAAGCAATGGTGCTGTAGGGAACAGAGGAGATAGAGCACAACGCTCAGAAAGAGGCTAAGCGCTAAGCTAGGGTTGCTACTGGTTTTGAGGTCATCGATGAACCGAGCCGGGTTACAAGTTCTCGCTCCACCTTTTCGGCTTAGTCACTCTCTCGTCGTTCTTGAGAGCGGATTAAAGGATGGAACAAGAAGAGTGACTACATGTAACATAAATAAGACTTTGAACCAGGGCTTCCTATAACAAGAGAAGAAGCCGTTAGCAGTCCAGGTTAGGGTTTCGGTTTAATACCAATCTCCCTATTCTGATAGCAAAGTAGTGTTAAAACCAATAAGATAAGTATGGGCGATGATCTAGTCTTTCAACACAGTCAACATCCTCGGTTTAGCAGTGCTAGTGTGCTACCTTAACTTTTTACGATGAGGGAATCGCACTTTGTACCTAAAAATTTAAGAATTCTTATTTCATACCATCAAAAATTAAAATTTTCATATTGTATCTTTAATGTATTAAAAGTATTGCAATATGACCCTTCCGTTAACTTCCATCACTTATTCCATATGCAGAAAACCTCATTGACATTGATGAAATGAATAACAGTTTTTAACAGAATTGTCACATTATAACACTTTCAATAAATTGAGAATGTGTATGCTTTGAGTATTAAGGAGCATTGAAAAAAATATGTCTAGACTCCCCTTATCTCCTTTTCTCCCATGTTTAGATAAACACTTTGGGTCGGTATTAGCCCAAATGAATAGTACATTGATAACCACATAAACCTTCTTAAATAAACCCACCTATTTGGTGGGTTTAAATAGAACGTTTGGGGTATGTTTTGACAAAAGACATTTTTACCCTAAGAATCCCTAGGTTATAACTTATAATTATGTTGATGGTGCAAACTTATTTTTGTGTTTGTTATTCTTTCTGTTTCTTGATCATTTTATTTTATATTCAAAATGTATAAGCACTAAAGGTAGCTTTTGAAACCTTACAAGCAGATATTGTAACCAAACCATTAGCCTGCAACTTATTTTCTTTGAAATCCCCTCATAAACAACTGCTTTATCTGGTTTATTTTCTCTTATGTTAAGCTGACCAAGCTATGCCCCCCTCCTGTTCCTCAGTTTTTTTTTTATAATTTTCCTTTGGATCTTTAGGTTTTGTGTTAATTACAGAAAATTAATAGTTGACCATCTTTAGTTTGGTATCTTTTCAATATCGCCCCTTATCAGTGGCAGAATTAGAAATATATTCTAGGGTGGACAAACTTAATCACAACTTTTACTTTATTCTCTAATAGATAAAAATAATGTGATACATTTATATTTTTTGTATCATATTTAATACTTAAAGATTCATTAACCATAAAAGACCAAAAGTCAGTATAAATAGTATATATAACAAAAAATAAGTTAATTATAACTCTTTACAAAAAATGAGGCTAATTATAGCCATTTACAATTGACCTCGATGTCGAGCAAAAAAAAAAAAACAATTTTCCTCGATGAATCTTCATATTTTGAAATTGTTCATGACAACTTCATTATTAATGTTATTGAAAATAACAATGGAGTGGGCCAAGGGTGTTTTTACTCAACTTTCTCTTTTTTTGGTTGATTCCAAGAGATTTGTTATGACCTACATTCTCTTTTTATTCCAAGTACCCAACAAATTTGTCATCCTCTCCATGATTGGCCAAAGATTGAACCCAATTTTATTTTTTTAAGTCATTAGGGTGGGCCAAATTGAAGATATTCAAAAAATAAACAAAATATACATAGATCAAGGATAAAAAATTGAAGATGTTGACTATGCAAATCTGGAAGATATATGCTGACATCATGAGTTTCACTCTCACATGTATACATATAGGAACAACTTTATATGCACACATACATACATACACACAAACACGTATACATTCATACATAAGGAGCTTTTAAGGCACATGAAAAATAAAAACAAGTAGTAGTTGAGCTTTATTTATCCTCTAGGGCCATATAGACACATATACTTAAACCCTCATTCCAAATTCTACCCCATTTCGTATGTTAAAAGGTTGATACTTCCGTGCGACTGAAAAATAGGCCTGGAGGACCACCATGAGGCATAAGAGCCACCATTACAGGACTTTCTGTACCTTCTTCAACAATCAGTATTCCAGTATTATTATTTAGTTCTATTTTCACATATACGGGATATACTGCATTTATATTAATATTGAGATATGCCTTTGCCAAAACCCTTGTGTAGGCTTTAAAAACCACTTTAGGGACCATGTAAGCAAGAAAATTCATAGGCCACCCTTTAGTTTCCAACAAACCCTCTTTTGCGTCTTTTATATATACCTTCACCAACTTGTCCACTTTCTCTTTTGTAAGCCCATTAACATCTCCTAGCTCCTCCTCAGTTCTTTCATGAGACATAAATTGAAATACATTCAAACAGTTGTTTTCAAGATAAATCATTTGAAAAAAAAGAGAAGGAATTAACTATAACAAACTTTAACAGTTAAGGTTTTTGGGTGATGGAGAATCACTCAAACGTTACATCTTTTAGACTCGTGGCTATAACACAAAATTCGAATAGATGTAATTATCTACTAACCACGTGTACGATGTTTATATGTTGAAGGTCAAATGTCACGTATATTGTTACATCGTTTAAGTGGAAAATTATTAAAAATGGCGCTATATACTCGCATTGGTGGGTGTTTAATTGATAATTTTTTAGATATATACCATTTTGGAAGTTCATTTACCATTTTTAAAAGTAAAACTAACAATTTTTTTCCTAGTCAAAGTATAATCAATTAATTTGAGTACTTTAAGTATTTTAGTCATTATATTATTAATATCGAATTACATTAGTATTTTAGTAAGAGATTGACTCATTAGGTCTCAAATTTAAATTTTAAGTTAAATAAAAATATTATTATTTCAAACTATTATTATAATAACTATGTTCACCCCACTTATATCCATTATTAATAATTAAAAACACTCTATTAGTTACTTCTAGAAATCATTATTGGATGAGTGTTACTCATCGAGTTACACAAGATCTAAGTGGAGCCATCATTTAATAAAAAATAATTAAATGAACAATATGAATTTTACTATTTTACATAGGGTAGTTATCATATTACATAAAAAGGTGGCTATTGATTTTAGTAAGATCCACTCGTTAACTTGTCTTTTTTCTTATTGGATACTGACACTACTTGATGATAAGGGTGTGATGTCTTCTTGTTTTTTAAACATAATGGCGTAATTTCAACATTATACTTAATATTTTCCCTTGACATTGGGCTAACGCTGAGGGTTACTAGGTCAAATTGGTCACTATATTGCCTACGTTCAAGATGACCTAATTTGAAAGACAATGATATATATAACTAAAAATAAAAGGACAAATTCAAGAACACGACTTATATGTGACTTTTTATTTTACAATTTATATTTATTCAACTGTCCTTTATATGTTAAAAATTACAATAGTGAAATCACATCCAACATGAAAAAGATGAAATAGTTATTCTAATATGGCATATTTGACTAGCAAAATTGAGGTATTTCGAGTGAAATCTCTCATCCAACATCAAACAGATGAAAGAGTTCTTCTAAGTAACATATTTGACTAGCAAAGTTAAGGCTTTTAAGTGGTTCATCCTAAAAGGTCTTCAATTATTGTCAATCTACCGACAAGATCCAAAAAACATTGCTCTTTCCATATTTTCGTATTTATAAAACATAATAAATTTTGAAAATTAATAGTTGACAATCTTTAGTTTGGTATCTTTTCAATGTCGCCCCTTAACCTTATAGTAATTAATAATCCTCTAATACATTTTTGCCCAACTCTTAGTTAGCCTTCTTCCACTTGGAAAATTCTAGCTCTGTACATGACCAAACCATGTAGAAGCGGTTTTCTCTGCTTTTTTTTTTTTTTTGGGAAGTTAAATGTCTGTTTTTGCCAATGGATCAACATCAACGACAGCAAGTCCAAAGCATTCAAAAAAAAAAAACATTTTGAACCAAATGTCAATATAAATCCCTCCTTCTGTTTTGTCAGAACTGAATCTTTATCATTCTCTTAATTGAATATCTTTTAGAATACTTGTTAGTTTTGTTCATAATGCCTTTACTGTCTGAGTTTATTGTGTGAGGCAAAGACTAACTAGGGAGGATGTCATCAGAGTCTGCTTTCTTCATTGTCTATTTATATTAGAAGAATTTTTTTAAACAAAACAAACGTTGAACACTGGATTAATGACTACTTTCTCTCACCGTAAGAGCAAGATAAAGGATTAAAAATTGAAGATGTTAACTATCCAAATATGGAAGATATATGCTGGCATCATGGCTCTTATTCTCATATGTATACATATAGGAACAGCTTTATATGCGTGCACACACACACACACACACTGACGACGACTAAGCTTTTAAGGCACATGAAAAATAAAAACTAGTGGCGTTGAGCTTTATTTCTCCTCTATGGCCATATGGATACATAGATATTTAAACCATCATTCTAAAATTTACCACATTTCATCTATTAAAAGGTTGATACTTCCGTGCCACTAAAAAAAAGGCCCGAGGGGCCACCATTAGGCATGAGAGCTAACTTCACAGGACCTTTTGCACCTTCTTCAACAGTCAATATCCCAGAGTTATAATTTAGTTCTGTTTTTACAAATCCAGGACACACTGCATTTATGGCAATATTGGGATATGTCTTCGCCAAAATTCTAGTGAAGCCATTAAGAGCTGCTTTGGAGACCATGTAAGCAGAGTAATTTATAGGCCAACTTTTAATTTCCAGCAAACCCTCCTTTGCGTCTTTCAAAAATTCCTTCACCACCTCGTCCACTTTCTCTTCTGTAAGCCCATCAATATTTCCTAACTCCTCCTTAGCTCTTTCATGGGACATAAACTAAAAAACAATCAAACGGTTGTTTTGAGATAAATCATTTTTCAAAAAAAAAAACAAGAATTACTCTAACATTGCATCTTTTCTATTCATGGGTGCAACACAAAATTTGCACACATGCAATCATCTACTAACTATTTGTGTTGGTGAAACTCGGATTTTATGCACCCACTGGTATTCACCCATTATGAAAAATGAGTTTTGTACCTGCAGCTGCCCCAATGAGGAGGAGACATTTACAATTCTGGCTGAATTTGACTGCTGGAGAAGAGGTAAAAGTCCTTTTATCACTTGCTTAACACCATAATAGTTTGTTCTTAGACAAGCTTCTGCCTCCGCGTAGCCTCCCTTAGTACATTCCTTAAGCAATTTAGCCTTGGCACCAAAAACCTATATCCACAATTTTGTATGAAAACATCTAAATCATAGGACAATCAATATAGCATATGAGTTAATACAACTGATAAATGTTGGAATACATTGAAAAAAATTTATATCAAAAGACTTACCGCATCAAACCCAAATTTTAAAGTTTCTAGACCTTTCTCATCGAATATTGCTCCGGTAATTGCTGCATTATTTATCTGCATCAGGAGTTACTCATTTACTTATCTTGCTCATACATACATTTTCAAAATCTTGATGCAATAGCCAATTTCAAAGCTATGGAAGAATAAAAGTGTAGTCCCTTCCCCATTAGACAATGTTGAATGTTAACCACGAATAAGTAACTCCTAAATTCATTCTCTCTCTCTCTCTCTCTCTCTATTGTAAATATGTAACTGTTAATTAAATTTTAATTTTACCAGTATGTCAAGCTTCCCGAATTGTGTCTTGATAAAGTCTGCCAAGGAAGCAACACTAGCAAGGTCCATGACATCAAGTTGGTGGAAAAATACATCTGAAAGTCCAAAGGTTTTAAGTTTCTCAACTGCTTCAACGCCACGCTCCTTATCTCTAGCTGTTAATATCACTGTGATTCCATTAGAAGCTAATTGTCTGCATATTTCTAATCCAATCCCCTTATTAGCCCCTGTCACGATCGCCACCCTGAAGATCATAAACATAATCACTGGGAATTAAAAACAGATAACCATAAGGATTCATACCCTTGAAAAACGCCACAAAAAAAGAAGGGAGAGAGAGAGAGAGAGAGAGAGAGAGAGAGAGAGAGAGAGAGCATTAAACTTGTATTTGAAGACTTTTTTTGCTAGAAAGAAATCAAAGAGAAGGAAAGATATACCTCTTGGTTGTCTGATCTTTCATTGTTTGCGCCATAATATGTCCGGCAATCTGTTATCTGTTCGAGGTATAGTTTTAGACTTGTTATGATGTAGTGAAGTTTCATGGCCAACTGGCTATTGATATAGTTAGATTGGAGTGAATAATCAATCATATCCCTTTCTGTACATCGTATGGCATGACGACACCGTCAAATGTTTCGTCAGTTCAACGTATGCCATGACGAGATCAAATGTCACCCAAAGAACTGGGAAAAAAAAGGACTAATTGTAAATTGCACCCTAAAAAATTATTTGAATCTCAATTTGTATCCTAAAAAATGTAAATATGTATTAATGCACACTGAAGTTAACAGCCGGTAGTTGCCGTCTAAATGGATAATTATACTTAGATCCCCTCATACTTATCACTTAATTATCTAAATTCTTCACATTTGAAATATTACACCTATATCCCTTGAGAATTCAAATATGATTAAAAATGTTCTCCCAATTAGACATCCAAATAATTCTATTCAAGTGATGTATTGAATTGGATATACAGAACATTATATAAATACTTGCATTATATTGGTTATTCAAATGATAAGCTTGGTTTTAAATTTTAAAGTATATCGGACCCACAAAATAAAAGGTATTATAAAAATTTTTAGTTCTGAAAAATAAATCTAAACCATCAATATCATGTAAATTTTCATGTTTTAAGAAACATTTGAGATCAAAACAATATTGTTTTAAATTATCATTCTTTAATCATTAGAATTTTTGTAAATTAAATAAAAAACCAAAAAGAGGGAGAGAGAGAGAGAGAGAGAGGTTGAAAATATTTGTGTCAGTAAATGAGTTGACATTTAAGTTCATTTTTTTTGTTTTGAACTTTAGATTTTTTTTTTTTTTTGAACTTTTGATTTTTGAGGTTTTGAATGTTATGGTTTGAATTACGGGCCCAAATTATTAGATTTAAATTTTGGTTTGATTACAGCCTTTTTGTGGGACTTAAACCGTTCATGAATTTAAATTTTAATATGGTTAATTATATACTTACAAGTTTAGGACATTTCTCATGAGTGGAACCTAAAGTTCAAGCTTTACCAGCCTTGCTATTGAGCTGATCCTTGATAGGGGATGATTAGATTACATTTTTGAAGCCCTTCAAATCCTACTACAATGGATTAATACATGGGATTCACATGTTTTTCCCCATCTCGTATATGACCTGAGGATTATATGAAACTCATGGATTCATATTAAATAAACTACAAATATCATCCTTTGTTAGCATGGAATGGACTGAATTATTGTCCATTATCGAACACACAATCTATTTTCATGGTTGGGGACAAAGTAGTATTTTTGCCTATGGGTTTCATTTTTTTAAAAATTGGGTTTCATTAAGTCTCCATATATATATGTGTGTGTGTGTGTACTTGTTGGGACCGTTGAAGTTGAGTTGGGACAAAGATAGACTCCTGTGAAGCATCGACACGTTATTTGTCTCACGTATTCGTGTCTGACATGTTTGGGATACAAATATGCTTGGAGACGTCTCGGACATGTGACGGATACGCAAAAATCGGTGTTTGATTTTTTTTTTTTTGACACGTCCCATATACGTTTTTTCCAACTTATTAATTTTTGGTTGTTCGCAGCAGTTATGGTTGATGAAGATAGACGACAACGACAATGAAGAAGTTGATGAGAAAGGCAAACCTCAAGCCATAGAACACCTTATCAAGTCATTGCTTAAATCAAGTCATTGTCACGTGACATGTCATTATTGGTTTTCTTAAATTTTTGCTTTATCTCCTTATCAACTTGAAAAGATCCAATGTGGCCCACATTAAATAAGAACTTAAAACTTGTATATTCTAATAAAAATTGGAAGTGAGTCTTTCTATATGTACTTGTTTGGAGATAAGCTCTGCAAAAAAATTTATAAGGGGTTAAGTCTATGTTTAAAATTATATGTAATGACTTAAATTTACTTTTTTTTTATCTCAAAAATACCCTTCCTTAAAAGGAATTTAATCTTTTTTCTCTCATATCTATCTATATTCATCTCTTATATAGTAATATTAAAAAAAAATAGTAACATTCAATACAAAAAAAAAAAATTACTATAAATTTGAATAGTAAAATTCAAATTCATGTTACTATTATTTTTTATTATGTTATTATTCATGTTACTGTTTTTTTTGAGTATGTTATTGTTCATCTACTATTATTTTTGAGCATGTTACTGTTTTTGTTGACTATGTTATTACTATTATTTTTCTAAATATTAATGCTCAATATTACTATTTTTTTTTTAATATTACTATTTTTTGTATTTGAATTGTACTATTTTTTGCATTTGAATTTGAGAGAAATAATTATTGTTATGTATGCTATAGTTTTTGTTAAGCATGTTACTATTTTTGTTGAACATGTTAATATTTTTGTTGAACATGTTACTATTGTTATTTTTTAAAAATATTAATATTAAATGTTTCAATTTTTTTATGTTTAAATGTTACTATTTTTTATTTTTAATGTTACTATATATATATATATATATATATATATATATATATATATAGATAAGAAAGAGAAAAAATTTTAATGTTAGTCAAACTCTTAACCTATATATGGATATAGATAGTTATAAGAGAGAAAATATTTTAATGTTAGTCAAACTCCTAAAATTTATGAGTTTTTAATTTTTAGTTTTGTTTCACTTCTAAACGAAAGAGATAATGTAGTAAAATTGACCAAAAACGGATTTCATAACAAATAAGTTTTATTGACAGACTTAAGTTTAAATAAGTCCATATAGGGAGATTGACCTCCAAATTTTCCTATATTCTATTAGATGTGCTAACTTAATAATTGATCTGTTTTATGGGTCTTTATTTGGTTCAATAAATTTAATGGGTGAATTAAAATTAGACTACATATGGGCCAAAAGTTTGTATAAAAATATGTATTGGGTCAAATTTATGAACTATTAGTCATATAAAAATTAAGAGCAATGCTATACGGAATTTATTTGGGGACCTTTATGAACTACTAGTCATATATTTATTCAACGTGTCCGTATCCTATTTTTTTGAGAAATAACGTATTCGCGTATCCATATTGTATTGTATTCGTGTCTTGTGTTCGTGTCCGTGCTCCTTAGATAGACCCGAAGTCACAGACCTTAGAAATGCCAACCAAACAAAGAATAAGTAATTGTGTTGAACTTTTTTTTTCAAACGTGGTGTATTCTTACACATATAGATTGATTGATGTAAATCATTACACATATAGATTGATTCATGTAAATCAAAACAAAAATGATAAGCAGTTTAACTTTCTTAGGCATTTAGTCAATAGATGTAGACCAAGTGGATGAATCACGTATATTTGTGATTGCTATTTTTCTTGTTTCTCGATCATTTTATTTATATTCAAAATATATCAGTTTCCTCATTTGTCAAGTGTGCCATGTTGCATGTAATTTCCTTCTTTACAAATCCAGAATTCACACGGTTGACTAATGTTTCTGTAGCATGATCATAAGGGTAAAAAATTGTCTATGTTGAGCTGTGGAAAGACTGAATGTTTCTGTAGCATGAGTTTTGCTCTCACGTCTATATATATATATACACATTTGTACAATAAAAGATAGTAGCAGCTAAGCTTTATTTCGCCTATAGAGCCATACAGAACTACAGATACATTAGTATGTAAATTCTCATTTCAGATAAGTACTACATTTTTTCTGTTAATACAACTGTAAAATATGCCTGAAGGGCCACCGTCAGGCATAAGAGCCAGCATCACAGGACTTTTTGCACCTTTTTTGACAGTTGCTATCCCACAGTTATAATTTATATATGTTTTCACAGATCCAGGACATACTGCATTTATAGCAATATTGGGATATGTCTTTGTCAAAATCCTTGTGTAGGCATTAAGAGCTGCTTTAGAGACCATATAAATAGAGAAATTTATTGGCCAACCTTTACTTTCCTGCAAACCCTCCTTGACATCCTTCAAAAATCCCTTCACCACCTCGTCCACTTTCTCCTCTGTGAGCCCATTAACATCTCCAAGCTCCTCCTTAGCTCTTTCATGGGACATAAGCTGAAATATAATCAAACATGTTGCATCTTTTAGACTCATGGATGCATAAAGTTCGAATGCATGCAAATTACGGCGGAGACATTAACAAGCCTGGCTGAATTTGATTTCTGAAGAAGAGGTAAAAGTGCTTTTGTCACATGCTTAACACCATAGTAGTTGGTTCCTAGGCAGGCTTCTGATTGCTCATAACCTTCCTTAAGAATTTCCTTAAGCATTTTAGCCTTGGAACCTACAACCTATATCCACAATTTGATTTCAATTCAACTTATAAATACTGGAATGTAATGAGAAATTATACGTCATGAGACTTACCTCATCAATACCAAGTTTTAAATTTTCCCCGAGTTTCTTGAACGATTATTGCTCCAATAACTCCTGCATTATTTACCTGCACCAAGCATTACTCATTTACTTATCTTTGCTCAAACATAAATTTTTGAAGTTGGAATCATTATAGGAATTTAAATGTAGTTTGAACTACAAATTCATCACCTATTTTGCACCTCAACCACCATATACAGCTAACGACAAATTTCCATTCGTATCAAGTGAATATTAGTTTTATGGTTAATCTTACCAGTAAGTCGAGCTTCCCGAATTGTTTCTTGATGAAGTCTGCCAAGGAAGCAACACTAGCAGGGTCCATGACATCTAGTGATGGAAACATATATCTAAAATCCCAAAGGTTATAAGTTTTTTAACATCTTCAAAGCCGCACTTTTCATCTCTAGCTGTTAATACCACCGTGACTCCATTGGAGACTAATTGCCATCATATCTCGAACCCAATCCCCTTATTAGCTCCTGTCACGACCACCACCCTGAACATCATAGACATAACAATAAAAATTAAAGAAGAAACCCATATGAGGATTCATCACCTCTTAAAAACCCACAAAAAGGAGCGGGGTTGGGG